AGAGTGATAGGGAAGGTAGCAGGAAACAAGAAAGCTAACTCTTCAATAAAGAGCTATTTGCAAGGACTGTCCTTCTCATTAATTTTACTGACATTTCTACAAGTTAAGCTTTCTGTACTTAAGCTGTCACCTCATCACTTAAAAAAAAAAATCCAAAAACTTTTGCTGGCATTTCAGAGGGTTCTGCTAGGAATAGAGGCATACTGAAAACTTCAATATTGCTTGGTTATATTTTAATTTAAAAAGCACCTTAATAACAAGGTGTATTATAAAATAGATCAGTGAAAGAAAAAAATGTGCCCACTTTCAACTTAGGATTTAAGCTTCGATTGATTCATTTTTATGATTAATCACCTCAAAGATTGTATGTTCCTTTTTGACAGTCTTACGTTCTGTGCATGTCTATAACTGCAGGGGTCAAACCTGTAAATAGCAGGAGCTGTTTAGATTCCCCAAGGAGAAAATGCCAGTGCCAGAAACCCCTGTAAGAAGATTTCCCTGAGGAGAGTCCAAGGTGTAGGTGTAGGATGTTCCACAACCCATTTCTGAAAAAGGTATTTATATAATGCAGAGCAGAAACAGAGTCACAAAGGAAGTGATGCAAGCAAGATCCCGCAAACGTGGCGAGCATACCCCTACCTGCGTGTGTGCAAGGAAACCATTTCTAGTACATTTATGGGTTTTTCTCACTTGTGTATGAAAGTTTAAAATGTTTTTTTTTTTTCGCTTTTAGCGTGATTCCAGCATTATTGTAATTACGTGTGATGTTCTTTCCCGCAATTAAGGTCTATTTTCGCTTTATTTTCAGGATGCTTCATTTTCACTTTGTTATCTCTTTAACAACGAAACTGGCCCACGTGTGATAACGTCCAATGTCACATCACTTACAGTACTAATTATCTTATTACATTTTCTATAAATATTCCACAAACGCCAGAGCTGAGTCAATGCACTTCTCACTCTGACCCATCTGAGATACTAAGACCATTATTTTCACTCCATTAGCAATACAGGTATCACTGCTTAGCCACAGAGATACCAGACTCTTTAAAAATGAGTTTTTAAACTGCTGCCTTACATTTGTCTAGGACTGCATCTGCACTGAAGAAATAATCCAGTTTGACACCACTTTAACGACCATGGCTCAGTGCTCCAGAATTCTATAGCACTGAGCCATGGCTGTTAAAGTGGTGTCAAACCAGATTATTTCTCAGTGAGGATGCAGCCTAGATTAGGATGGCCATACCAGCTGGATACCTGGGGTTTACCTGGATTCTAGGCATGCCATGTAGTGTTCTTTTGGATCATCATTTAGCCTGGATCCCAAGCTTCTAGCTCTTGTAGAAGCTGAGATATGGGGAGAAACGTTGAGGTCAATTAGTTTTGTAAGAAACAAGCCCACCCTATCTTTCAGGTACATTTGCACTGCTCACTCTCAAAAGATGTAAGAGTGAGCAGAGTGCACCTCTCAAGAGAAGTGAGAGTGCGCAGTGCAACTGATCCAGTGCAAGAAACAAGGGAAGGGGGATGCACTGCAAAAGTGCAAGGAGAGGTGAGAGACAGATGTGTGAACAGTCAGGGAATGAATAGAAGAGGTGAGAGATGCAAGTGGAGTGCAAGAAGCAAGAGGGTGCATTGTGAGGGCCCAAGAAGAGGCAAGAGAGTGAGATTAGGTGAGACGGGAGAGCAGGCAATGTGACAGAAGCAAGGGAATGCATTGTGAGCAGGTGAGGTGAGGCAAGGGAGGGAGTAGGAGATACAGG